GGTTATGATCAAGTTCAAAACGAACATTATCCTGCAAAACAAGGACTTTGAGCTCATCCGAAGCATCCATCATTGCCTTCCAGGTTTGTAACCAACGATCAGGCGATTCTCCCCTAAAATGATTAGAAGAAAGATCGACAATTTGAAGTAATGACCAGGAGGAATTGTCATCCAGGCAATTAATCAACCCATGAAAGTTGTTGTACCTCAATACCAAGACTCGCAATTTAGACATGTTCTTCAAATGGCATGGAAAAGTATCACTGATCTGGTTGTTCCCAAGGTCTAAGACCTCCAAGTTTGCACAGTTGGCTAGAGATATAGGAACCTTCCCTTCCAAGTGGTTTCCATCGAGGTTTAGTGTTTGTAGCGAACAATTACTTGAAAATTTATCAGAGATGTTGCCATTGAGGTTATTTCTACTCAGGCCCAACACCTTAAGAGACTCCATCTCATTCAAGCATTGAGGAATAGTGCCATTCAGGTAATTATTTGACAAATCAAGGATTTGAAGATTTGTAGCACCGCAAATTGATTCAGGAATACTTCCCCGAAGGCTGTTGTTGGAAAGAAGGATGATGGAAATGGTACTTGAGTTGCTGTAGAATTGTGTAATAGAGCTGAAATTGTTGCTTGAGTAATCTACATATTTTAAATATGGCGAGAGCTTGGGTAGTTGACCTTGCAATTTGTTGTCATGAAGATCTAAGACAGACAACGAAGAATTTGAAGCTTGCAGAGGTCTTTGGGAATTCACCAGCTTGTTGTGAGAAAGATTAAAGTAATCAAGAGACAAACTAGTCCAAACCCAATTAGGTATTTCCCCATAAATCTGGTTAACCGAAAGATCTAAAATTGATAGTTTGGATTGCTCCTCCAAGAAATTTGGGAATCTTTCCAGGTTGCAAGAAGCTAATTTTAATGTTTGAATTTGGGAAACAGAAACATGATCGGAAATGGTTGCATTGATGGACAAGCTATTGAATGAGAGATCAAGAGTAGAAAGATTCGTGAGGTTCAAAATTGAACTTAAATTTAATGGACCACTAAAATTATTGGAAGAGAGGATGAGGACCTGGAGGCTCTGGAGTCCAAATACAAACATTGGGAGAGATCCATTCAACATATTACCATCCAGCTCAAGGGATTCCAATGTAGAGGAAGCTAATTTTGGGGTTTCATGCAATTCACCAGTGAACTGATTTTGTGAGAGTATTAAACTTTGCAAAGATGGAATTTCAAACAAAGTTGCGGGGAGAGTTCCACTTAGTGCATTGTCTCTCAAATTAATAAACTCAAGCTTGGAAAGACTTGACCAGTTAGTGGAGAGAATTGAACCAGTTAACTGATTGTGGGCAAGGTTTAGGTGGGTAAGATTTTTGGCAAATGAAAAAGATGGAATTGGACCAGAAAAATTGTTGGATGAAAAATCTAGAGAGACAAGCTGTGTGAAATTTGTTATCACTTCTGGAATTTGCCCTGTGAAACCAGCATGTGAGAGATTAAGATGACTCAAGTTTGAAAGTTTATCAAACCTGGAAGGAAAGTTAGATGTGAAGTGGTTGTTTGCCAAATTTAGACTCTGGAGATGTTGGAGATTAAAGAGACTGCTTGAATTGTCAATTCCTCCTACAATCCTTTTGTCGCTCAAATCAAGATCCGTAACATGACCTCCGGCATCACAAGTTACACCTTCCCACATGCAGCAATCTAGGCTTTGATTCCACTTCACCAATTTGGGAGATAGATCGGAATCGAAGTTGAGCCTATTCTTCAATTGAAGCAACAATTCTTGCTGGTCGCTTTGACAGTGACCAGAAGCCAAAACCACATTAATCTGAAAGAAAATTATTGCAAGAAGTAACATGAAAAACCAAGAAAAGAGTGAA